AGTGGAAGGTAGAGTTGAATGGTTAGGTAATGTGTCCGGGGAATGATCAGGGGGTCCAGTCAAGAAGTTTTCAAGACTAGAGACATTTATCGAGGTTGAGAAGGATCTGCCACTCCCCATCAAATCGGAGTATATAGATGGTTTCAGAATAGTGGGATTGTCGCCCTCAACATTTGGAGACCCCATAGCAGTAATGTTGAGGGGGGGAGAGATAAAAAAGGATGAGATAGTGTGTATGTCGAATTAGGGGGGACTAAACCGCTGTATTGGGTGGCTTGACTTAGATAGTACCTAGAGTCAGTAGGTGGGTTTCCAAGTAGGCCAACGTTATGGCTTCTTTGTGTGCGGTGGGCAATTTTAGTCCTATTGTGGTTAGTTGGGGAAGTTGTATGTTTCTGATGAGGAATAAAGGGATGCCTGTTATTGTTGCTAAGAGAGGTGTTTCTGATGTGTATAGTTTTGTGTTGATTCATGGGGCTTGCAAGGTTGACACTATATGACTTATGGGTATCACGTGTGGGTGTGGTTCTTGTCAAATGTCGTTTCACATTAGGATGAGTGGGTGTTGCCATTCCACTATGTTTGTTGTAGGGCATTCTATTGCTATGAGAAGGTGCACGTTTTGGGTTAGAGGTGCTGGAGTATTGGTGGGTTTTTACGGAGGGTTTGGTATTATTTCGTACAGCGATGTCTGTAGCTGTTAGCGCAATTCCTGGGGTGGTCATTTTTAGGCATTTTACAGGGGCCGCTAGGGTGATACTTGGACGCTATTGAGGCATAAGTGGTTTGGCATTTTGGGGTAGCTGAGTGTTTGGGCTGAGGGTGAGTGGTTGTAGCTGCTTTATGAGCGGTCTTGTCCTTAGGATTAATTGCAGTGTCCGACGTGCCTCCGTTTTTTGGGGGGGCAGTGTATGATATTTTAGGATTTGTGCAGTGACAAGAGCTGTAGCTGCCGCGGCTACGTAAGCTGGGTTGATCTGTTTGTGTTCCATTGCAGATACGACGCTGGATAGCGGTCCTGTCATGAATGATCCTAATCTTTTTAAATGTTGGAATACGCCTCAGTAGTGACTGACTATTAAGGAGGTGATTAGCTTCAGTGGTACTACCAAACTGAAATAGAATGGGACATGAGGTTTTAGTGTGTCCTTTACGTAATCTCCTTGTTACACACCAAGATTGCGACAATCCACACTCTTGTAGCAGAGTATTTTTAGCAATCTTTATGTTCGTACTATCAGGTATATTATACACAATGACATTATGCATACACTGAAGTCTTTTCAACACTTCGGTTGATATATGGTCAATTATTTTTTCAGTGTTTTTTATAATTTCCAGATCGGGATTTCCTGGAACACTGATTAAATATTTGCACGGTAATAGATCTTGAATAGTTTGGGTGAGGCTAAGTTCTGTTTGGCTGCTTCTAGGTCTACCAGTGGTGAGATTATTCAAGTTTATATCAAAGTTTTTAAGGTCGATATGGTTACATATAGGCCTGTTACAGGTGTCTAGCGGGTGGTCACTTTGTGCACACTTAGTTGGGGGATTGGGTATATGTCTGGGTGAGTAGTCAAGATCTACGTCATCGGGCTGGCTATTGTAGGCAGTCGTAATTCGTGAGCCGCTACTTAAGATGGCCGATTGTAAAATTGTTGGGTGTTTGGGGTCAGCCGCACTGTCTAAATACTGCTCACAATATCCGGTGCTCTTTTTGGGACTGACAAATGATGTCGACTCTAACAGCATGTGACTGCTCTTATTTATATCGACAAGCGAGATGCAAGGTAGTGATATGTCTTGTCCAAGTAAAGGGTGCACGTTTAGTGTGGCTGAGGGAAGATCAGAGTAGGATGCAGACTGATCAGTGTGTTTATAAGGTTTCGCATTATTCGCTTTAGTGACTGATTTAGATCTTTTGCAGGTGCTATAGGCATCTGGAGAGATTATATGTTTTTTAGATGGCCTGGACATTATTGGAAGTAATGTTAATTCAAAGTTTAATTAGGTGGATGGCGATAGCTGTAATTTAACTTAGTGAACGTGTAAAGTTTTATGGTAGGATCAGACCCAGTATTAGTTAAGAGTAAATATATTACAGTTAATTGGTGATAGTGATAGCGTGAAAACTAGCAATATTAATTTATGAGGTTGAGTTCCTAAATAAGGTGTAAAGTTAATAGAACCCTATCAGTGACGAATTATTTATCGCTATCAAGTGTTAAATTAAAGAGAAAAACGGATAGGAAAATAAAATAATACCACGTGAAAAAAAGTTACAGCCTTCAAAAGAGCGCCGTAGTAATAGAGGGGTTGTACTCGTTACGTAGTGCGTTAAAGCAAGCTTAACATTGAAGAGCCGGAAATCTGCTATCAGTGTCCAGTGTATGTTTTCTGTTTTGGCCATAAAAGGAAGCCGAAGGGTCGTGATCAGGGAGTAGAAAGATAATTAACTGTTATTAAGCTAAGTGTTTTATAGATCATATTTCACCACTCTCAAATCTGTGTTTTTTTACGGTATGACATCAACCGGTATCTAATATGTTCGCCCTTACGATGAAAAGTACCTGCGAATTTTCACCTCCATATTCGAATTATTTTTAGACAACCGTCTTCCAGTTTGAGTGCTTCATACACCCTGGTTGACTATATTCCTACATTATTCATAGTCCCAGTATAACTTTCTCACGCAGTAAGTTCAAAGTAGACACTAGAATGTTAAGCTAATATCAGTAATATCTAGTTCAGTTATTAGATGAAGAAAAGTAACACGTGAATCTGCTGTGTACTGCTATTTTACTCCAATTCTAACTGTTATATCTTCTGAAAAATAAAATTGCTATATGCAGCAAATACCAAAAACAAAGTTTCCGTTTAAAAGTTGTATTGGTAATGTTGAGCCGCAGTTTTTGTCGTTTTTCTCCAAACGAAAGAGTAAAAGAAGTCAAAAAATACTGGAGGTGGTTGTGAGACTAAAATGGACGTCCAGCATCCTTTTTATAATCTGCTGTTAGTTGGGTCTCCCATGAACAGTTCCACAGGGCCATAGTTCCAAGGGCGAAATAGTTTTTAGGATCTGTGAAGGCTCACTCCTGTTGCATTCTAAATGAAAAAATAGTGATGAATTTAGTCAGAAATGTGGAATAGATAAATAAAAAAATTACATGTTTTTCAGGAAAGAATTTATGCAGTTGCGATCTACCTTGAGTTCATGAATATTAGATAATGTCAGCTACCATTACTTATGCAAAGCATAACATGGGCTTAGTACTGTATCGCAATGCTTTTATTATTTTGCTCCCATTTAAGTATTCCCATGCATCTGCGTCTAGTTTAACAGGAAGGCATACAAACAGAGTTAGTGTCTGATAAACTAAAAGTTCCAGTTGTCAAAAAACTCTTAATATTTGACCACAGCCAGCTGCATTTAATTGAGACACAGAACACTCATCTTCTAAGACTGTATACTGCTGTTTTGCGGGCGACGAATAGCTCAGACGATTAGCTATCTTGCTACCGATGTTATTGCTGGGGAAATCGTTTAATGACAAAGATCATGAAATATGGTCAGTGATAGATGTACAATCTAGAAATAAACAACAAACATACTTATCGCTATCTTATAATGTATGACAGAAACAGCATCAAAGGCATGTTTTTTCCTATTTTTAATCAGACTGATCTGAATCAGCATACTCATTAGAAACAGGCAACTCTACTTACTAAACTGATCTGTTTCGTTACAGGCTTCAAACACTATACTTAAGTATACCATAATTCTTTCAACTAAACTGAATAATACGACAACCAAGAAAACTAAACTAAGTAAGTGTCATAGTTATTGTTTCATTTGCACAGACATGTTGCTCAAAGTAGTTAAATGGACATAATTAAGACTATAAAACCAAAACACGAAATATAGGCCAGTTGAACTTACCGAACAGAAGACAAAGAATATATATATATATATATATATATATATATATATATATATATATATATATATATATATATTGCTTCCCGACTAAAGACAACAGTCATTTGTTCATAGAAACATAATTTACAGTACAACAAACGTTTCGTCATTAACATTATGCACTGACGGTCTATCTAGAAACAATCAACTACGTGATTAAACTCACTATGACTTGGGATAACATCTCAGTATGCAGTAAACGTATAGTGTAACGCAGTCAAACGTGGCGAATAAAAATTAAAAACAGAGCAAAATTAACAACATAATCTAGTTTTTCAATTAAAAATACATTATGAAATGACAAAATCTGTAGTTGCTTGAACGCACAGATGGTTCTGTGCGATACATTAAGTTTACATGGTTGCGTTGCGGTTATGTTAACCCTCCACTTCCATATTCGACTGCATGAATATTTATTTTATCACACAAGGAATATTGTCCAATTTCGTGTTCTAAATATTCGCACTGAAACGAGTGACTTTCTAAAACTCTAGACAGGATTGTTGAAGTTACTGTGGCTCTTAATTGTAACAGTCGGCTCGTCGAGTTTTCTGTGGTATAAGCTGACCAGTTGTTGTAAAAGGCGAGCGACTACGAGAACATAAAAATGATCTGGTGTGGACGAGTGATCGATAAAATAATGTAGACACTATGAATTCGGTATAAGTGAGCAAATATATGTCAATTATAACAATAAACTCATCAAAACCTATAAATTAAACACAACGGAAAGCTTTATGAAACGTCATTCATTAAAGCTCTCAGAAATGAGAAAAACTGAACATATTCACTACTTAATCCACAATCTTTACCAAAAGACTGGCTAACATCAACCGGTTTCATCATTGTTATATTGGATATTGGAAGTAGCCTGAACGAGGGCGGTATACTGACTGTAACGTCACTCATCATACAAACCTGTTATTCCTTTGCTGAAGTTGCCATTTCCTTTGTTACCTGGATAAAATAACATTTCCCCATTATTTTTCACCATGGTGTGTTAGTTCTACCTCCTCGTGGAATGGGCACTCATTCACTCTATCACTTGGTAATATTATTTGAGGAAACTGAGAAGAAATTATCAAAATCGCTTTCATACAGTTGTAAGTTATCATATGCTTCACCTTTACCTGTATAGCTCCATCCTTACCGTATCCATTTATTATTCGGAAGTCACTTGAAAAGACTAGGCACCCCGAATTAAGTACTTCAGATATTCAAGGTAGCAGGCAATTTAATCAAATTACTGTGGAAACGTATACAATGGGTAGGGGGTCTGTATGTTTGTCAACATCCTTTTCTTACAGATACCTCAGAGTCATGGGATGTAGACAATTGTGAAGAGATAAGTTTTCTGTCTGGTAATCCAACTGTCGAAACCACCGAAGGTATCATACATATATACAAAAATCAGTACGTAGTTTCAAAACATCCTAATGCTTCTTAGGAGAGAAGTGCCACGATGTAATGACATGGTTACGAGTACTGTGTTATGTTTCTTTTCTGTGCCATCTCATATAACAGTGAAAGACTTACTGAGGTTTATTTCACCTATGCGGTTTGTTTGTAAATTATAGTTAAACTTTTCAGTAATGTGATTGTAGAGCTGAAAATCGTAAAGGATAGTACTCCAAATCAGTATATGGCATTGATAAAGTTCCGTACACCTGTACGTATATGTTATTTCCGTTTTACAGCTGTAGGAAGACACGGGCCATTTTTATGATACCTACAATGGCACCTCTTACAATACTTTGGAACAAGAAGTGTGCCAACTAATGTATGTCTCACATGTAGAGATCACGCACCCTTCTACAGTATGATTTTATTAACCATAACTTGTTCACACTTTCAGGGCGTTGCATTTCCCACCAAAGATTTAAGGGAGTTGCCTTCTTGTCCGGTGTGTTTGGAGCGTCTGGTTAGTTTCTGTATTTATTATATTTTTCACTACCTTCATTCTTAACCACAGGATGAACCCGTGCAAGGAATACTGACTACGATTTTATGTAACCACACATTCCATGATGGGTGTATTTCACAGGTAGAAGATACCATGTAAGACAAAAATTTCCTGACTTATTTCTGAATATAGTTGCCCAGTTTGCCGTTATGTCCAGTCACCTGAAATGCTCTCTGACAGTCAGTGTGCAGACTGTGATATAAGAGAAAACTTATGGATTTGTCTCATATGTGGTCATGTTGGTTGTGGTCGTTATGGTCAAAAACATGCACAGGTGCATTTTGAGGAAACAGGACATACATTCGCCTTAGAGCTCGGCAAAACTTTGGTCTGGGATTACGCTGATGATGCATATGTTCACCGGCTAGCTGTTAATCATGAGGATGGAAAATTAGTTCAGGTCAGTAAATTTACCGTTTTTGTTTTCTTACTATTAGTATATTCCTTTGTGTAGCGCGAAATGTTAGGTTACTAAGATATGCGTTTGTATAAAATTTTATTTAGTGGTTTGTATAAAAACATACGAAGTCAATGTATTTTTACCATATTCTTCTCATCTTGGAATTCTAACTTATTTGACTAGGTTATGACATTGAATTATTTACTAAAATGCTTTCTGAGCAGTTTCTGTATTTGACTCAAACGTTGATACTAATTAACACTCCCCAAATGCCCTGGTACGGCCGAGAGTGGGGAGAGTCCGCTCACCCTCTCGAAATGCTTTCACATAGCCACGCGTGTATAGCCTCTGCCAGGGAAGTCCTTCTCATTGCCTCCTCGTGGCATTGCTGTTGTCTACGAAATTGAGAGAACGAAAAGCGAAACTCTGGCTCTCTAACCAGGTTGGTAGATACGGAAAGTCCATGTAGGTGGGTTGGAAAACCCTGACTCCAAAACAATGGTGCACATGGGCTCCAGTTTCCTGAAGGAACAAATGGCGTATGAACCAATCGTTGATCACCGGCTACCATAGGACTGCATCTCCTTACGGTGCTCCACTGCCTTGTGGATCAGACATTCAGGTCGAAGACTCCGGGTGTGACTCCATAAGAAAACCACTTGCTTCTGTTTGGGCACCCGACCAGTGTCGCAGTCCTCGCACATATCAAGTGAGGTTTGTGTGGCGCATATGTATCTGGTGCTTTCTTGTACCAATATTTGTGTTCAAATAAGTAATAAATAAATAAACACACCAATTATATAAATAAGACAGGTTTTTTTCTTTAGCCTTGAATACTATTGCCAAACCTTTTGGATATTGGTGATGATATCTATCCTTTGCTCATAAGGATGAAATGATATAAGACCTTTTACTATCTAATTTGTTAAATTCAGTATACAGTTAAATTCCCGACCGTTGCTGTTACCTTGACGTGGTGATCGGGCTTGCCTATCGTGATGAACCAATCGAGTTATACTGGCTAGAACAATCGTTCCTCAAGGTCCAACCATGCCAGACAGGTCGGTTGACAAGCGGTAAGACTAAACGCAGCAAATCCAAGATCCGAAGGCGAAGTCGTACTGCTGACTGTACAAAAGTGTGACGCCAGTAAGGTGTTTCCTTCAGACAACTAGCATAACAGCGATGCTGTTTTCCCACAAGGAAGAGTGGGGTTAGAAAAGGTCGACCCCAAACATACATATCTCGCCTTATCCCACGGATATCCGTCTTCGGCGGTAAGGTCTCAACAAGTACGTGTGTGACCGACTTCAAGCGGTTGTCTCTAAATTCCCGACCGTAGCTGCTATCTTGACGCGGTGGTCGGGCTTGCCTATCGTGATGACCCAACCGGGCTATATTGGCTGAAACATAGGTTCCTGTAGGTTCTACCATGCCAGGCAGGTCGATTGGAAAATGGTAAGACTAAAAGCAGCAACTCAAGGTCTGAGGGCGAAGTCGTACTGCTGACTGTAGAGGGGTGTGACAACAGTAAGGTGTTTCCCTCGGACAACCAGCATCTGCAGCGATGCTGCCTTCTCACAAGGAAGGAAGGGGTTAGAAAAGGTTGACCCTAGAAATGTCACACCTCACCTTACCTCACGGATTTCCGTCTCCGGTGGTAAGGCCCTTTGAAGAACGGAGCTAACCCGTTGAAAACCTCCCACAAAAAGCCTGTGCGCGACCGGCCTCAAGCAGTTGTCCCTTGGGCTCTGCGGTCACGCTCCCAGGTCGTTAAGACCAACACTAATCCGACTTCTTTTTCAGGTTCCTCAGGAAATACCCTTCCACGGTGTGGGCAGCCGGGAAGTGATATCAGCCCTCATACTCGTAACAGCGCACGAAACCAAGTTGATCACATTCAAAACCATCCTTCACCTCTTAATACCTCTCTTATTTCCATGACTAATACTTCTCACGTTTTTTCATCACCTCGCACCGGTAAGGCAAACGATTTGAGTATGCGGAACGCTATTCCTGGTCTCCTGAAACCACGCTCTAAACTACACGTAGGAGCTTTTAACGTCCGAACACTGTGCCAAATAGGACAGTAGGCTTCCTTAGCTAGCACTTTAGAATCCCGCGCCATCGATGTGTGCTGCGTCTCCGAAACGCGCATACAGGATCCGAGTAGCGTCATTCACTTGACCTCACCATGCCAAAATAAAGAACCGACTCGATTCACACTTCGTGTATCTGGAAGCCTTGTTTCTGCTTCCCGTGGAATCGCCAGCGTAGGTATAGCATTGAGTTCTAAGGCAGAACTAGCTCTCTTAGACTGGATCCCAGTAGACAGTCGTTTGTGTGCTGTCCGACTAAGCCGAACAGTAAGGATCCGAAAAGATAGGGACACTCGTCGTTGCCTCTTCGTCGTCTCTGCCTATTCTCCCACTGACTGCAGCTCAGATGATGTAAAAGATGAGTTTTACAGAACATAATGAAGAGCGGAGTCAGCTTAAGCGCAAACTGACAAGAAGTCTACGCAATGATCGGGAACAGTGGTGGGTAGTGAAAGCAAGAGAGATGGAAAAGGCAGCGGCAATAGGTAATAGCAGACAATTGTTCAGACTTATTAAGGAAACCGACTGTTAGCGAAACAATCTCAAAGAAAGATGGACATATACATTCTCAATTCAGGAGATTGGATCGATGGGCAGAACACTTTAGGGATCAGTTCAACTGGCCTTCAGCCACACTTCGATTTCCCACGATCTCCAGTCAACCTGAATGGCAAGCTAATGTAGGTCCTCCGTCTCTTTACGAAGTTGAAAAAGCCATAGGAAATCTGAAGAGAGGGAGAACAGCAGGCCCTGACAGGTTTACTCCTGAGACTTTTAAGGATGGTGGTCCAGTATTAGCAGTGAGATTACATGAGGTTTTAGGTAGAATTTGGGAACTGGACGTAATCCCATCTGACTGGTCTCAATCACTGATTATACCAGTATATAAGAAAGAACAAAATCCCTCTTGTGACAATCACAAAAGAATCAGTTTGACAAATATAGTGTCTAAAATATTAGCTTCAATAATACTTCAACGCCTAACTAAAGCTCGTGAAGAGCAGACTAGAGAAAATCAGGCTGGTTTACGACCTGGACGTGGTTGCATAGATCAGATATTGACACTACGCCAGGTTCTAGAACACAGACACACGTTCAGATGCCCCACAATCGTAGTATTTCTCGACCTTAAGGCGGTATTCGACCCTGTTGATCGTGAGGTTCTATGGTAGTGTTTGTCACCGAAAGGAGTACCAAAGAAGTACATTAACCTTATACAGGCTCTCTACTCGAACACAACTGGTAGAGTGAGAGCTTATGGCGAACTGTCATCAGAATTGATTACCTCAAGTGGTGTTCGTCAGGGCTGCCCACTCTCTCCATTCTTGTTTAACTTTTTCATTGACGTACTTTTACAGATGACACTTTCCTCATCTAAATTTCCAAGGGTTGAACTTCTACCAGGAGATTCACTTGTTGACTTGGAATATGCCGATGACGTCGTTCTATTTGGTGAAGACGCTAACAAAATGCAGTCTTCTGACCACTTTAAGCAACAATGCAAGAATGTTCGGGATGCGATTCTCCCCCTCGAAATGCAAAATGTTGCTTCAGGATTGGGTAGCATCGACACCCGAACTAATGATAGGAAGTGAAGTAGTTGAGCGTGTCGACCGCTTCATTTATCTTGGAAGTCTCATCAGCCCTTGTGGTCTGGTGTGTGACAAAATCTCAGCACGGATACAGAAGGCTCGACTAGCTTTTACCAACTTGCGTCATTTATGGCGTAGGCGAGATATCCGTCTATCAACCAAAGGACGTGTTTACTGCTCAGCAATTCGTTTCGTCCTACTTTATGGCAGTGAAACGTGGCCGGTAAGAGTAGAGAATATTCGTAGGTTACTAGTATTTGATCATAGATGTCTTCGAAATATTGCTCGTATATCCTGGGACCATCGAGTAAGTAATGCAGTTGTTAGGAAACGGGTACTAGGTAAGGATGGCAGATCGATTGATGAAGTGGTGAAACTTCATCAGTTAAGATGGCTGGGACACATGCTACGTATTCCCAACGACCGACTGCCTCGACGTGCGATGTTCAGTGGTGTAGGAGTAGGTTGGAAGAAAGCTAGGGGCGGCCAGACCAAAACATGGAACAAGTCCATGAAGTCACTGACAAGTGGACTGAGTCATGTCGGTAGGTGTAGACTACCTGGTTGGGGACCGCGAGATGATAGCAACCGATGGTTAGAGACCCTGAATGACATGGCTCAAAATCGTTTGCAATGGCGCAGGTGCATACACTCTTTGTGTTCTCCCAGATTTTAATCTCCTGATTCCTCCTTGTCTTTTTTTCTTCCCGAATTTATTTCACTGTATTATACTCTTTAAATAACATCTCCGAACGCTAATCTTCCCTACTACTGCTTATACTCTTACTACCTCTACCACTACGGGATTTGAATCGACCACGGCATCTCTGTGCTAATGTGGTGTGGCAACTCGAACTGATGTACGTACGCACGAAGTTCTACGTTGTTACTGACTGACTGTCTCTTAGGCACTGGTGAGGCTCTCAGGTCACTAGGACCACCTCTAACCCAATTTCCTTTTCAGGTACCTCCAGAAGATCCCTTCCACGTTATGGGCAATCGGGAAGCGATAACTGCCCTAATACCTCTAACAGCACTTAAGATCACCGTATCCATAATTAATCTCCCTCTTCGATTCCTATTATTACTCCTATTTCAACTCTTCTTCTAGGAGGTGTACTTATCTACGTAAAATACACAAATGATATAGTCCTGTTTGATGAAGACGCTGATAAAATGCAGTCTTTTGATAGCACTGAGCGACAATGCCAGGATGTTCGGGATGCGTTTCTCCCCCTCTAAATGCAAGTTGTTGCTCCAGGACTGACCTGCGTCAACACCTGGACTACGGATTGGGAGTGAAGTAGTCGAACGCGTCGACAACTTCACTTATCTTAGAAGTCTGATGACCTTAATGGGTTGGTGTCTGACGAAATCTCAGCACGGATTCAGGAAGCTCGTTTGAATTTTTTCAACCTACTTGACCTATTGCGAAGGTGAGATATCTGTCTCAGTCAGTCAGTAACAACGTAGAACTTCGTACGTACGTACACCAGTTCGAGTTGCCACACCACATTAGCACAGAGACACAACTGTCGATTCAAATCCCATAGTGGTAGAGGTAGTAAAATTATAAGCAGTAATCGGAAAGATTAGGGTTGAAGATGTTATTCAAGGAGTATAATCCATTGGAATAAATTTGGAAAGAGAAAAGAAGGAACATGATAGTTTCAGAAGATTAGAATTCGGGAGAATACAAAGAGTGGATGCACCTGCGCCATTGCAAACGATTTTGAGCCATGTCATTTAGGGTCTCTAACCATCGGTTGCTATCATCTCGCGGTCCCCAACCAGGTAGTCTACATCTACCGACATGACTCAGTCCACTTGTCAGTGACTTCATGGACTTGTGCCATGTTTTGGTCTGGCCGCCCCTAGCTTTCTTCCAACCTACTCCTATACCACTGAACATCGCACGTCGAGGCAGTCGGTCGTTGGGCATACGTAACACGTGTCCCAGCCATCTCAACTGATAAAGTTTCACTACTTCAATTGATTTGCCATCCTTACCTAGTACCCGTTTCCTAACAACTGCATTACTTACTCCATGGTCCCATGATATACGAGCAATGTTTCGAAGACACCTATGATCGAATACTAGTAACCTACGAATATCCTCTACTCTTATCGGCCATGTTTCACTGCCATAAAGTAGAACGGGACGTACTGCTGCGCAGTAAACACGTCCTTTGGTTAGTAGATGGATATCTCGCCTACGCCATAAATGACGTAAGTTGGCAGAAGCTAGTCGAGCCTTCTGTATCCGTGCTGAGATTTCGTCACACACCAGACCACAAGGGCTGATGAGACTTCTAAGATAAGTGAAGCGGTCGACACACTCAACTACTTCACTCCCTATCACTAGTTCGGGTGTCGATGTAGCCCAATTCTGAAGCAACATTTTGCATTTCGAGGGAGAGAATCGCATCCCGAACATGCTTGCATTGTTGCTTAGAGTGGTCAGAAGACTCTGCATTTTGTCAGCGTCTTCACCAAATAAAACAATGTCATCAGCATATTCTAAGTCAACAAGTGAACCTCCCGGTAGAAGTTCAACCCCTGGAAATTTAGATGAGGAAAGTGTTATCTCTAAAAGTACGTCGACCACAAAGTTGAACAAGAATGGGGAGAGTGGACAGCCCTGACGAACACCACTTGAGGTAATCAATTCTGATGACAGTTCGCCATAAGCTCTCACCCTACCAGTTGTGTTCGAGTAGAGAGCCTGTATAAGGTTAATGTACTTCTTTGGTACTCCTTTCAGTGACAAACACTGCCATAGAACCTTACGATCAACAGAGTCGAATGCCACCTTAAGGTCGAGAAATACTACCATTGTGGGGCGTCTAAACGTGTGTCTGTGTTCTAGAACGCAACGTAGTGTGAATATTTGATCTATACAACCACGTCCAGGTCGAAAACCGGCCTGATTTTCTCTAGTCGGTTCTCCACGAGCTTTGGTTAGGCGTCGAAGTATTATTGAGGTTAATATTTTAGACACTATATTAGTCAAACTGATTCCTCTATGATTGTCACAAGAGGACTTTTGTCCTTTCTTATAGACTGGCACAATCAGTGATTGAGACCAGTCAGATGGGATTACGTCCAGTTCCCAAATTCTACCTAAGACCTCGGTTAATCTCATTGCTAATACTGGACCACCATCCTTAAAAATCTCAGGAGTAAACCTGTCAGGGCCTGCTGCTCTCCCTCGTTTCAGATTTCCTATGGCTTTTTCAAGTTCGTAAAGAGACGGAGGACCTACATTAACTTGCCATTCAGGTTGACTGGGGATCGTGGGAAACCGAAGTGTGGCTGAAGGCCAGTTGAACTGATCCCTGAAGTGTTCTGCCCATCGATCCAATCTCCTGGATTGGGAATGAATAATATGTCCATCTTTCTCTAAGATTGTTTCGCTAACAGTCGGGTTCCTAATTCCGGTTTCCTTAACGAGTCTGAACAATTGTTTGCTATTAACTATTGCCGCTGCCTTTTCCACCATAAGATCCACCTAGGTGTCTTTCCCTATCACTTAGTTTACCTACTTGAGCATTAAAGTCACCGGCCACTATTACTACATCAGAGCGCCTAGCTTTTCGGAGAAGGTCGAGAAGCTTTCTGTAAAACTCATCTTTTACATCATCTGAGCTGCAGTCAGTGGGAGAATAGGCAGAAATGACGAAGAGGCAACGATGGGTGTCCCTATCTTTCCGGATTCTTACTGTTCCGTTCAGTCGAACAGTGCACAGACGGCTGTCTACTGGGATCCACTCTAAGAGAGCTAGTTCTGCTCTGGGACTCAATGCTATACCTACGCCGGCGAGGCCACGGGGAGCAGAATCAGGGCTTCCAGATACACGAAGTGTGAATCGAGTCGGTTCTTTATTTTGGCATGGTGGGGTCAGATGAATGACGCTACTCGGATCCTGTATGCGCGTTTCGGAGACGCAGCACACATCGATGACGCGAGATTCTAAAGTCCTAGCTAAGGAAGCCTGCTGTCCTATTTGGCACAGTGTTCGGACGTTGAAAGCTCCTACGTGTAGTTTAGAGCGTGGTTTCAGGAGACCAGGAATAGCGTTCTACGTACTCGAATCGTTTGCCCTAGCGGTGCGATGTGATAAAGAGACGTGAGGAGGGTTAGTCATGGAGATAAGAGAGGTATTAGGAGGTGTAGGAAGGAATTGAATGTGACCAACTTGGTCTTGTGTGCTGTTACGGGTATGAGGGCTGATGTCACTTCCCGGCTGCCCACACCGTGGAAGGGTACTTCTTGAGGAACCTGAAAAGTAAATTGGATTAGTGTTGGTCTTGACGACCTGGGAGCGTGACCGCAGAGCCCAAGGGACAACTGCTTGAGGCCGGTCGCGCACGGCCTTTTTGTGGAAGGTTTTTGACGTGTTAGCTCCGTTCTTCAAAGGGCCTTACCGCCGGAGACGGAAATCCGTGAGTTAAGGTGAGGTGTGACATTTTTAGGGTCGACCTTTTCTAACCCCACCCCTCCTTGTGGGAAGGCAGCATCGCTGTCATGCTGGTTGTCTGAGGGAAACACCTTACTGCTGTCACACCTCTCTACAGTCAGCAGTACGACTTCGCCCTCAGACCTTGAGTTACTGCTTTTAGTCTTACCGTTCACCAATCGACCTGCCTGGCATGGTAGAACCTACAGGAACATATGTTCCAGCCAATATAGCTCGGTTGGGTCATCACGATAGCCAAGCCCGACCACCACATCAAGGTAGCAGCTTCGGTCGGGGAGATATCTGTCTATCAATTAAGGAATGAGTATACTGTATGGAGGTTCGTTCTTTTCTACTTTACGGCTGCGAAACGTGGCTATTAAGAGTAGAAAATACTCTTAAGCTATTAGTATTTGACCGCAGATGCCTCAGAAATATTGCTCGCATCTACTGGGATCACCTGGTAAGTAATTATTTACTTACGCCTGTTACTCTTCGTGAAGGAGCATAGGCCGCCCACCAGCATTCTCCATCCAAACCTGTCCTGGGCAATCCTTTCCAGGTCCTTCCAGTTATTCATCCTTTTCATATCTGCTTGTATTATCCGATGTAATGTGTTCTTTGGCCTTCCTCTTTTCCGCTTCCCTTCAGGATTCCAAGTTGGGGCTTGTCTCGTGATGCAGTTTGATGATTCGCGTAATGTATGTCCGCCTGTAGCTCTTCTAGAGTTACTGCCGGTCCCAAGCCCCGGTGAAGGAGGAGGTTTGGGCACGGGGTTAGCGTCCCCATCCCGTAGAAAACTAACTCGCTAAAAAACGCTTACCTGGTAAGTAATAGTGAGGTGATGATTGGGCTGCGTGTTGCGTATGACTGAACACCGATTACCACGGCGCGTAATGCTAACTAGTGTTGGGGATAGTTGGAAAAAAGTTGGGGGTGGCCAAACCAAAACGTGGCACCAATGCTTGAAGTCACTAACTTCTAGTCTTAGCCATATTGGTAGATGCAGACTACTTGGTTGGGGTCCGCGTGACTATCGTAACCAACTGTTTGTGTGCTCTTGGTGACATGGCTCAGAATCGATCACAATGGTGTCGGTGTAAACACTCTCTTTCTTCCTTTAAAGTGTGAGAATAAAATTGCTTTCTATCTTTGTTTCTACCAACCAATTCTTTCTTCCTGTACTTTATCCTTATACATAATCTTTCTCCTATATATTACCACCATTGAATTAACTAGTTCTATGAGTTCGGTCTTCATCTTGATGTGCTAATAAGGTGTGGCAACTTGAACCGATGCTTTTAAGTGCTTGGTCCCACGTTGTAGCTGATTGACTAACAGCTAAATAATTTAATTAACCTTATCTTAATAGTATTTGTATGCTTGCAAGAAAGGTTTACATGAATGTTAGAAAAAGTTTGTCTCTTATTCTCTGTTCACTAATTTTGCTATGAAACTCCGGAAGCTTTATAATGACACTACTAAGTCTAGGTTTCGCTTGGTGATTCTAACTAACAAGAGAGTGGACGGGTTATTCCGAAACTTTTCTGCTTCGATTATAGTCAGAGAAACAATTGATCTTAAGTAATTTTTCTGTTTTAGTCTCACCATACTTCATCGTTCAGAATAATACAACTGTGTATAACCTGGTTTATAGGCTAGTATATAATCTTCCATATAGCTGCCTTTTATTTGTTTCAGCTTGGGCCCAATAATGAAACTGGTAACAAAAAGCTAGATATAATTAGCATGGAATTCAGTGCCATCTTAACAAGTCAACTGGAATCACAACGTGCATACTTCGAGTCCCAACTGGGTTTAATAACTACTCAGTCAAATGTTCATCTCGAAGAAATGGAATCCCGTGTCGAATCTGCCTTATCCGCTGCGCAAACAGCCGAAAAGAAACTCTCTGAAGTCATAAAAGAGAACCTAGTCATCAGTCGTAAATTGCAACAAGTACGTCACACAAAAATTTAACATTTCATTTTTATACAAGTCAGTCAGTCAGCTACAACGTAGGACCAGGCACATATATGCATCGGTCCAGGTTGCCATACCTCATTAGCACAGCAAGATGAACACCGGATTCATAGGAGTGGTTAGGTCAAAGGTGGTAATTTATAGGAGAAAGATTGCATATAAGGAAACAGTACCGGAATATAGAATTAGTTCGTACAAAGAAAGATATGAAACGATTTTAATCTCTTAGTTTAAGGAAAGACAGGGAGTGTATACACCGACGCCATTGTGGCCGATTCTGAGCCATGTCACCAAGAGTCTCCAACCATTGGTTACGAAAGTCACGCGTACCCCAACCAAGTAGTCTGTATCTACTAACATGGCTCAGACTAGAGGTTAGTGTCTTCAAGCACTGATGCCACGTTTTGGTTTGGCCGCCCCTAATTCTCTCCCAAGCATCTCTAACACCCGTTAGCATTGCACGACGTGGTAATCGGTGTTCAGGCATACGTAACACGTGGCCCAACCATCTCAGTCGATGAAGATTAACAACCTCATCAACTGATTTACCATCATTACCTAATACCCTGAGTCTAATCTCACTATTACTTACCCGGTGATCCCAGCAGACGCCAGCAATATTTCTAAGGCATCTGTGGTCAAATACTAGTAGCTTACGAGTGTCTTCTACTCTTAAAGGCCATGTTTCGCTGCCGTAAAGTAAGACAGAACGGATTGCCGCGCAGTATACTCGTCCTTTTATTGATAGACGGATATCTCGCCTTCTCCATAAGTGACGTAAGTTGGCAAAAGCCAAACGAGCTTTTCGAATCCGTGCTGAGATTTCGTCCGATACCAACTCATTAGGGCTGATCAAACTTCCAAGATAAGTGAAGTTGTCAACGCGTTCAACTACTTCACTCCCTATCCTTAGTTCAGGTGTTGACGCAGACCAATCCTGAAGCAACAACTTGCATTTAGAGGGAGAGAAGCGCATTCCAAACATTCTGGCATTGTTGCTTAGTGCTACCAAAAGACTGCATTTTATCAGCGTCTTCACCGAACAGGACTATATCATCTCCGTATTCTAAGTCGATAGGTGAACCTCCTGGAAGGAGATCAATGCCCGAGAATTCATTATTTATTTATTTGAACACATAAATATTGGTACAAGAGAGCGCCAATATATATGCGCCACACACCCGAGAATTAAGTCGACGAGAATGTTATTTCCATCAGTAGGTCTATGATGAAGTTAAACAAAAATGGAGAAAGCGGACAGCCTTGACGGACACCACTTGAGGTTGCAAAAGCTAATGACAGTTCACCATAAGCTCTGACTCGACTAGTAGTGTTCGAGTTAAAAGCCTTCACAAGGTTTATGTACTTCTGAGGTACGCCTTTCAATGACAGACACTGCCACAAAATCTCGCGGTCTACCGAGTCAAATGCTGCTTTTAAGTCAAGAAAGACCACCATTGTCGGACGCTGATAAGTATGCCTATGTTCTAGAACCTGACGAATGGTGAATATGTGGTCGATGCAGCCACGACCAGGTCTGAAGCCAGCTTGGTTTTCTCGTGTTTGCAGTTCACGAGTCTTAGTTAGGCGTCTGATTATTATTGAGGCTAGTATTTTAGATACTATATTTGTTAAACTAATCCCTCTGTGGTTGTCACAAGATGATTTTGATCCTTTCTTATATATTGGGACGATAAGTGATTGCGACCAGTCAGATGGAATAACATCTGACTCCGAGATCTTAGCTAAAATATTATTCAACCTAACCGTTAAAATTGGATCACCATCCTTAAAGACTTCTGGAGCCAATCCATCTGGACCAGCTGCCCTTCCTCGTTTAAGATTAACTATAGCCTTCTCAACTTCAGCAAGATTTGGGGGACCTACTTCAATGTTCCATTCACATTGTCTGGGAATGGACGGTAGTTGTAGAGTAGCTGAAGGCCAGTTGAACTGTTCTCTAAAATGTTCCTCCCATCGTTCTAAACGTCTGGACTGGGAGTAGATGAGAGTATCGTCCTTTTCCGAAATAATCTCACACTTGACTTATTAATTCCAGTTTCTTTTATTAGTCTGCAAAGCTGTCTTGTGTTCCCTATAGCCGCCTCCTTTTACATCTCTTTTGCTTTCGCTGCCCACCACTGCTCACGGTCGTTCCTTAGACGTTTTCTTAACTTAGATCTGACTTGTTGTCGCTCTTCATCATATTCAGAACCTGATGGGACGAGTTTGCGAGAATCCATCAGTGTGATAGACTTTGAAGAAATCCACTGGTTCTTTGTAACTCTGTGGGTTAAGTCACTAATAGATTTCATTGCTGTTTCCACAGCTGTTTTTATATCTTTCCAAGCAACATCTGGGTCAGCCTCGTTTTGAAAACTACCTAAGTGTGACCTCAGTTGTTCCTAGAACTTACTTTTGGTTTTCTCGTTACTCAACTCAGTTCTAATGGGTCTTTTTAATGTGGCTTTTTTTGCGTCCAGTGAGGCGCAAGCAGATGCGTGCCCGTATAAGGGCGTGGTCGGAGTCCAAACAGGTACTCCAGAATGAGAGACAATCTTGTACCGACCCTCTCCAACGATGACTGATTGCAATATGGTCTATTTGAGTCCATCGTTGGTTTGGTGTAGGGGGTCGCCATGTTAGACGATGTCTCTCCTTATGCTTAAAATTTGTTTGCTAAAAATAAACGATTGTCTGAGTATAGTTGCAGCAGACGATCACCATTATCTGTTAGTTGTGGCGGAATACTAAAATATCCAATTAAATGCCTTTCTGTTTGGTTTAAACTACCTATCTGAGCATTAAAGTCACCCCCAACGAGTACTATGTTTGAACGTTTAGCTTTCTGAAGAAGTTCAGATAGCTTTCTGTAAAATTCATCTTCCATTTCATCTGAGCTGCAGTCGGTGAGAGCGTAGGCAGAAACGACAAAAAGGCAACGACGTGTGTCCCTATTCTTCCGAGTTCTTACGGAGCCATTTAGCCGGATAGCACATAGACGACTGTTGACGGGGATCCACTCTAACAGTGCTTGTTCAGCCCTCATGCTTAGTGCTATCCCTACTCCTGCCAGTCCACGAGAGCTGGTCATTGGGTCACCAGATAGATGGAGAGTGTATCTCGTTGGCTCTCCGTTTTGCCGATGTGAGGTTAAGTGAATGACCACACTGGGACCCTGTATGCGTGTTTTGGAGACACAGCATACATCAATGGTACGAGATTCTAGGGTTCTAGCCAAGGAAGCCTGTTGACCGATTTGACATAGGGTGCGTACGTTGAAGGCTCCAATGTGTAGTTTGGAGAGAGGTTTCAGTAGACCTGGGACAGTGTTTTGAGCACTAGAATCGTTGGCTATGATGATACTTGATGGGGAAGCTGAAAAAAAGAAGTTTGAAGTTGATGTAGGAGGAATAATAGGAATTGAAGAGGGAGGTTTATTATGAATACAGTGGTCTTGAATGCTGTTAGAGGTATGAGGGTGGTTATCACTTCCCAGTTGCCCACACAGTGGAGGGGTTCTTCTGGAGGTACCTGAAAAGGAAATCGGATTAGAAGTGGTCTTAGTGACCAGGGAGCGTGACCGCAGTGTCCAAGGGACAACTGCTTGAGGTCGGTCACACACGACCTTTCTATGGGCAATTTTTGTGTTAGCTCCGTACTTGTTGAGACCTTACCGCCGGAGACGGATATCCGTGAGATAAGGTGAGGTGTGCATTTTTAGGATCGACCTTTTCTATCCTCACCCCTCCTTGTGGGAAGGCAGCATCGCTGTCATGCTGGTTGTCTGAAGGAAACACCTTACTGCTGCCACACCTCTGTGCAGTCAGCAGTACGACTTCGCCTTCGGACCTTGGGTTTGTTTCAGTTCAATGATTTCCGTAATGTATGTACTGTCCAGTATCATCGTCTTTTCTCAATTTCCCCTTCAGCTGGAAACTGGTTTGTTCTCTCCCACATTAGGCTGTTAATGATGGTATCCGACCAACGCACAATGAGTATCTTGCCTAGGCAACTGTTTATAAATATTTGTACCTTTTCGATTATGGTTGTGGTAGTTCTCGAAGTTTCAGCTCCGTACAGTAGAACTGTCCTGACGTTCGTATTGATGATTGTGACTTTGATATTGGTTGACAGTTGTTTTGAGTTCCATATGTTCTTCAACTGTATGAATGCTGCCCTTGCTCTCCCAATCCGTACCTTCACATCTGCATTAGATCCTACTTGTTTATTGCTGATACTGTCCAGATACTGCTGCTACTTTAGCTTTCTTCACCTGCATTTGTTGATGTGTGTGAAATTGAAGGGCCAGGTCATCTACGAAATCCAAATCGTCTATTTGCACGCAAGCTGTCCACTATACCCCGTGCTTCCCCTGAGATGTGGTTTATTCATTATTATTATTATTATTATTATTATTATTATTATTATTATTATTATTATTATTATTATTATTATTTGAACACATAAATATTGGTACAAGAATGCGCCAAATATATATGCGCCACACAAAACAATGAGAATTTAAAGAGAAGGAAAAAAAGAGAATAATAACGACGAGATTGATGTAAGGTAGTGTAATAATAATAATGATAATAATGGGGGAACTGAAAAGTACAATCAGAAGAAATCTTTCAGTTAAGGAAGATACAACCACTTTTTCTGAAGAAAGTAAAAGAAAGTTACCGCAGGATCGTCACTGACTTCTATTCTGAGCCATATCTGATAACGTCTCTAGCCACTGTGTAGCAACATCTCTCGGACCCCAACCAGGGAGTCGTGAAGGACCAACACAAGCCAGCATTTTGCAGCTTTCTTTCATCCCACGACACCATGTCATATACTGACCACCTCTCCGCTTTTTCCAACCAGTCCCAGAGTCGGTAAATAATGCACGACGTGGAATTTTCTGGGATGACATTCTTAGAACATGTCCAAGCCACCGAAGTCGGTATTTCAAGATGATGACACCAATT